CCAGTGGATGTCTCACGCAAGTTATCTACTGGTGTTACTGTTGATCTATCTATGAGCTCTCATCCTTCTAATTCGATTGATGGTGTTCCTGTCTATACATTCACCACCTTGGCTGAAAGTCTTGATCATATTCGACACTTTGCGGGTTTACCCTCTACCTCTGTGCCTGAACCATACAGAGTCAATCATCCTAATGATCCATCTGCGCAGTTAGACAGTGATGATGAGAAAATTCTGGCTGAAGTTTAAGGTCCACAAGCCCCATCCTCTGATCCCATTGGATCCCTTACAGTGGAAGAGACGGCACATCTGGATTTCACTACCTTCAGAATTAGAGAGGTTTCCAAACTTCTTGCATCTTCATCTGCTTCTGTGTCTGAGACAAGCAACTCTGTTTCTCCGAGTCCCACTGAACATTCTCCTGCTAGAGAAACAAGAAAGTCCAAACGCAAAGGTGTCCTAGAAAAGGTGGCTGTGGAAACTGGTGATGATAATATTGAATCTGTTCAACCAGAGAAAAGACGAAGATCAACCGACTCAGCGAAGGCTGAAAGTGACCCACCAGTCCAGCAAGTGTTTAAAACTTTGAGATCGTCAGTCAAGAATAAGGCTCCTGCAATTGTTTCAACCACTACAACCAGAAAAATGAAAGCTACAACAAGGTCAAGAGGAAGGAGTGTCACTCCCGATGTACAAACTGTTTCTGACAGTCCTGATATCTCCATTTACAAGCCACAGTTTGTGTCTGCAATAGCTCAAGGCAAGTGGTCTACAATGGTGAGACGAGAGCTAATTGTTCAGAGATCAGTTGATGAGAATCAATTGAATTCAGTTTGTGATGTTTTACCTTTGCTGAGTGAGGTTGGCCTACTGAAGACTGTAACATCCATTTGTCCTTTCTCAAAGCTGTTAACCTACGAGTTCTACTGTAATCTGAATGAAGAAATCGACAACCTTACTAGGACGCGGTGCTAAAAGATTTTCATTAGAGGGCAGTGGTATGTGTTCGGCCCAGATATGATTAATGAGTACTATGGTTTGAAGGCAGTCGAAGAAGAAGAAATTACAGACTGGGATTTGGTTGCAAAGACACTCACTGGTGGTCAGACTCCAGTTTGGCCTACAGGAGATCCTGACACCTTGTCAAGCTCGGTGTTTACCTCCAAGTATGTTATCCTGCACCGCATTGCACTGCACAATTGGCTCCCATCAGCACACTTTCATACTATTGGGAAGCAACTAGCTGCTCTTCTATTCAGAATCAACACCAAGATGTCAATTGATCTGGGAAAATTGATTTTCTATCATATTATCACCCTGATTCATCCAAGGGAACAGAAGGTAAGACTTCCTTATCCTAATCTCATCTTTGGAGTTCTGACGTCACAGGGCCTGGTACCAATGCAAAGTGAGATTATTACTCCGTCTCTGTTGTATACTGTTGATCTGCGACTGTTGATCGGCGAACATATCCGGGATGTTACACCAGTTAATGCTCCTCCATCCTCTGAAGCTGACACTACTGTTGAGGATTCGCCACATGCTAAAGATGTGCAGCTGTCCCTACGGCTGAAGACTCGAGTGTCTGAGCTAGAGACTGTGAATGACATTATCACGAATCAGCTCAATGCAGCCAATACTAAACTTGCGACTGTTTTTACTTCGATTGAGCTTGATTGAGTTTGCTGCTGTTGAGAATGTGAAGTCTGAAAGTGAAGGTCCCTCAAATGCTTAATGTGTCCTTTGTCTTTCTTTGGCAAAAAAGGGGAGTGCCTAAACTCAGGGGGAGTTTTTGTGTTGTGATTGTTATTATCTTCTGGCCCTGTCTGGGCATGTTTTTGTGATGACCTTATGTTTTGTGAAGAATTTCCCTGTTACTTATGTTTATCCAGCACGGCTTGTGTGCTGATGTTTTTATGGGTTGTATTTCAGACATTATTCCCTTTATGCGACAGTTGTTACTCTTTTATATCTTTAGCTAAAAGTTCGTTTCTTAATCGAGTTGTTTTGCCAAATAATAGCCAAACGGGGGAGTTTGTTAGTGTTTTATTTGTTCAAAACCCCAACATATAATTGGCAATATTATTATGGCAAATTAAGATAGGGTTTAGCTTGGTATCTGTTTACTCTTATAGAAGACTGATTGATCAGTGTTATCACCAGACGCACTGCCACTGAAGATCTGTGAAAGGGAGATGTTACAAAATGCTGAACGCGGTTTGTGAAGACAGTTTTGGAAAGAATATCAGCGAATCAGCTTGGAAGGTATGGACCGAATCTGAAAGATTTTATTCTTCACAAAATTACGTCCTATCATCTACAATCAAAGATATTTTTGGAGAGTGTTCTTACTAAGGAAGTATAAGTACCTTCATTCGATCGAGGATTAGGGTTACGTGTTTAAGAAGACAAAAACACTCAATGCTCTACAGGAACACATATCTATGATTATCATGTCTCTTCTCAAGATATTAAGTTCATGGTGATTATGATGAAGAACTTGAGAAGAACTAACGTTGCTTAATCGAAAGGACGCGAAGATCACTCAGTTGTGGGAACAACTTGGGACTGCGTCATTGAAGCGGATTGCATCAGAGTTAGCTCTCCAATTTAAGGGATTTCATCTGACTTTTGCATGCGTGGCTCTCCGACTTCAACAATCCACTAAACCTTTGTAGACTGGGTACGTACTTTGTGTGGGACACTTGGGTGAGATTGTTGTTTCTCTACCTTTGTACATTGGATTATGAGTTAGTGGATTGGATGCCTCGGTGATCGTCCCCCAGATGTAGATACACACTGTACCGAACTGGGTAAACATCGTATGTGTTGATTTATTTTCTGCATTAGTCTCTCACTCTAAACTAATCTACTTTGTAACTGGATGGCTAACAATTCACATCTCTGAATCAGTCAGTCCAGTATATCAGTCAATTATCTCTAATAATAATCTTGAACTGAGAAAATGCAAAATTATATATATCTATATATCTATATATATATATATATATATATATATATATATATATATATATATATATATATATATATATATATATATATATATATATATATATATATATATGGTTGAGTTCACATGAGGACTACAATATATAGAGGACTATGAGGACAAATCATAGTCATCCAATCCAAGAGATTGAATGGCTAAGATGTTGTCCATATACAAATATAATTAACGCCCAAAATAATTAAAAGAGGGCAAAGAAGAGATTTGACAACATGCTTAATTATATAAGGATCCATCTACGTAAAATATGACTGGAGCAAGAATTCGAACACGGAAGGGAATCAAATACTAATTACAATCTCGCGTTGTTCATTGGCGAGAGCAGCAGTATGGGCGAGAAGGGAGGAACTGTTCTATGCGCAGCCATGGACGCCGGTGAAACAAGTAGCAAGGGAACATCCATGAACGCCGCCGACTATGTATTCCCGGAGGCAGCAATTCATGAGGAAGACCGTAGAGTGCATGAGGACAACATGATTGACGGTAAGGCCTAAATAAATATGAACCACGAATTAAACAAAAATAAATATTATTATGGTATACTAAACGTAGAGTACTACCTGGATCTAGGGCAATGGTTAGACGTGTCCATGATCATATGATTTAGCGAACCATGGAGAGGGGGGGGGGGGGGGGTTCTGTGTAATGAAAATATGAAATAGAGCCTAGGTTGGTTGAATGCTGAGCAATCACATTTTTCTACATATTATGTGCCATGATGATTTATTAGATGTGCACGCTTGCTATATGTCGTGTTCTACTGTTTGCCAACATACATAAATGCATACTCCTGGTGACATTTTAAAATGCAATAGAAATTGCAGAGGATGAGGGAACAGAGCCCGATCATAGAATATATCTTGGAATAACAGAAGAAATCATCCCAGAATGTGAGCATTCATTAAAGCCTTACAGGGTCAACATTTTGAGAACGTAGAGCAAGCTGTTGAGTTTTACAAAAAGTACGCACAAGAGGTAGGTTTCGATGTTAGATGCACCTCGGCGAAAAATAATAGACACGGACAGATTGAATCCAAGTATTTGCTATGTTCACGAGAAGGATACCCACCCACACCAACTCAAGGGGGCACAGACACAAATAATGACAACAAAGCCAAAAAGCAAACACGGCGACGTGTGTCTAATCGAGTGGGGTGTAGGGAAAAATGTGGAATTCGGCTACAGAAGGAGGGATACTACGAACTAACCGTATTAGAAGAGCGACACAACCACTGCCTATGCTCACCCATAGCAAGACCATTCTTAAAGATAAATCGAAAGCTTGATATTGGACATAAAGTATTCATAGCAAATTGTAGAAAAATAAACATAGGAGCAACAACAGCATTCAAGATATTCAATGAGATGGGGGGAGGTGCAAATATGGGGCCTACATGCGTAGAGTTCAGAAATTGCAACCGAGACGTAAATGCAAAGCTTGATGAAGCAGATGCACAAGCAGTGATAGACAAGTACGCAAAGAAGTAAGCGTTGTATCCAAGTTTCACATTTGAGTACGATGTGGACGAGGAAAACCAGCTATGCAGGGTGTTCTGGGCAGACCAAACGGCTAAAACACAATACAAATGCTTCGGAGATATGGTGTCAATCGATGCAACGTACCGAACCAACAGGTTAGTTAAAAATTATTGTGCACCTCGGCCTATATATTATGCCAGTATTCACTACGTCTTGTGCCCCTACTGTGCAAGGCAAAATGTAGCGAATACCGCCTAAAATAAACGTTGAACGACTGGAAAATCAACACAGCGGCCTAACACTCACAAATATGCGCAGGTACAAACTAGTATTTGTGCCATTCACCGGGATAGACAACCACAAGAAGTGCGTAACTTTTGCGGCAGGCCTTATAGCAAAGGAAGACATCGCATCTTATGTGTAGCTCCTAGATGCATTTAAACGATGTATGGGGCACGCTCCAACATGTATTATAACGGACCAAGACCCGGCAATGAAGGAAGCAATGCCACAAGTGTTTCCAAAAACCAGGCACCGATTCTGCATGTGGCACATAATGACCAAAGTGGGAGAGAAGGTTGGTGGGAAATTAGCAAAAGATGAAAAGTTCAGAAAGGAATTAAATGCAATCGTCTGGGACAAAACCTTGGGACGTGAGGAGTATGAAATACAGTGGAACACATTAATGACAGAGTACAGCCTCGAAGAGCACAAGTGGTTCAAACAAATGTACGAGATCAGATCAAGTTGGATAGAGGCGTACTACAATGACGTGTTCATGAGAGGGTTAATGCGAACGACATCCAGATCAGAGTCAGAAAATGGACTATTTGGGGACTGCATCAACACACATGGAACATTGTTAGAATTCTTCACCCAGTTCGAAAGCGCAATCGAGATGCAGCGGCACAACCAAGCACGATTAGTCGCAGAGTGCGAAACATCTTACCCACCCATGAAGACACCACTACAAATTGAGAAACATGCATCTTCCCTATACACCAATACAATTTTCTACGACATCCAAACAGAGATATTAGAAGGAAGTTTCTCATGCAAAATATCTAGAAAGGAACAAGCAACTGATCACGTACTATATACAATCCAAGAGGGCAAAAAGAAGAGCTTCACAGTACAATATTATAAAGAGAATGAGACAGTGAGATGTTCCTGTGGGAAATTCACTAGGGTGGGAATATTATGCAGACATGCGTTTGCAGTATTGAAGGATGATGATGCAGAAGTGATACCAGCAAAATACATAATACCAAGGTGGACACGGAATGCATGTGCACACAACCGGGCCAACGGCGACATTCAACAAGGAGGATCAGACAATACAGAAAGAGAAGAGAAGAGACTAACAGCTAAACTATGGAGTGAGTTTTACTCTTGCATAGCATTATCACAGGCAAACACATCTGAAATGCAGGAGATGTTGGACTAGATACTAGAGCACAAAAGTAAATTATTGAAGACCAAAGAGAAGAGACATGATACAAATAACAAAAACGAATTACTGGAGACATTTTGTGGCACACAGGCAACAACAGCTGTACAAGTGAAACCTCCACAAGTATCAAAGAACAAAGGGAGTGGAAAGCGATTAAAGAGCACACGGGAGAAAGCACAAGCAAAGAAAAGAAAAGATGGACGCACATGCCATTACTGCGACGAAGAAGCGCGCCATGACAGCCGGAACTGCCCACTAAAGCCACCAACGGAAAAAAAAAAAAAACAAAGACCAAAAAGAACGGAGGTCCAAAGAATTGAAACTACAGAAAAGGGGGCACACACCTTATTAACTAGTGCACAAAATATTTCCTCGTAGGGCACATTACTATTAGCTTAGATTCCTATAAGAACATGCAGTTTTATTCAACAATATATTACGCATTATCCTAGGAAAACCACACACCGTGTTTAAAAAAAAAAAAACAATACGCAATTACAAAAATTTTAAAACAGTATGACAGTTTGCACCCTAAAAATATTACGCCCAAAACGCCGCGACTGCGAAAGAATAAAAAAGCACGGACCAAACCCAATGGGAGTCCAAAGAGATGAACATACACACTAGGGGCACACACATTATTAACTAGTGCACAAAATAAATCCTCGTAGGCCACATTACCAATAGATAAGAGCCATGTTCGAACATGTAGTTTAATTCAACATCATAATATGCATAATCTAAGAATAATAACCCACTCTGTTAAATAAATAAATAAATAAATAAATAAATAAATAAAACCACCCCAGAAAAATTACACACTTAGTTTAAAAAACAAACCACAAGAAAATTTACGCCAAAAAGGTCGCAACTGCTGGCATAATAGAAAAACACAAACCAAAACGAGCGAGAGTCCAACGAGATGAAACTATAAACAATGGCACGCATTCAAATAGACAGTGCACACAAGTAATCCTCGAAGGGAACATTACAATCCACCAAGATCACAGACACTACCACGGAACTATTTTGCACCACCATACGCAAATTAGGGACACAAGGCACATATGAGTCGTAACCTGAGCACACAAGGAAACCCACTGCCACCACATTTAACACAACCTCCCAAACTGGCAAGAGACAAGATAGGCACACGAACTAGACAAAGAAACACATAAAAAGACCAACAACTGAAGGCCAAAATTGTAGGCCAACAATAGATTAATATTCCAAAAAAAAACCCAGCAACTAAGATATACACAGAGTTTAAGGGTCAAAACAGTAACAAAACGACTACGAATACAGAAATCGTGACACTGCACAAAATACTAAAACCCATAAACTACCCAACAAAATAGTCACCCACCAAAAACACTATATAACTACACTACGGCCCTACTCGCTCTTCCAGAAAGATACCGCACTGCATTTGCCACATTGCTTGCACGGTTGGCATTGATATCTGCAACGCAAATTGCCTTCAAGTACTGAAACCGCAAGCGCTCAAGACCAGCTACGTTGCCTTTAACTAGACCACACTCCCATCTCGACACCCCTTCACCACCATAAGACTCCATATGGCGCATGGCATAAACACCACTGCCAACTTTGTTACGCGAGTCACGCCACTTCATCTGCATCCTCTTGGGCACTAAATGAAGGCACAAACCCTGTTTATACCCCAGGCCAGCAGCTTTGAAAAACTCGAACAACAATAATTGCTACAAAAGACAACAAATGATCATCATCTACCACCCCAAAAGCAACGCACAATAAAAAACCCCAGAAAAAGAAAAGAATAGCAACACAACGTACCAGATTATCAGGAGTGTCACCATACTTCTTCGAAGTGGCCTCCGTCGAAGCAGAACTATCAATAATGTCAATGCGTTCATTCAAAAAGTCCACACACATAACATAGAAAAGATTGTTTTGCATAACCGAGAGAAACAACTGCAAAATAATTTACAAGACATAATCAAAAAATAACCCAAAAAAGCAAGTAAACGAGAACAAAACTATATACGAACACAAAAACCACGCAAGAGGCACACAACCACTAACAACAGTGCACACTAACGAGATTGCCCTACCACCATGGCTTATAAGGGCACACAAGAACAATGCAAGCAGCACACACCCACTAACAGCAATGCACACTGCTAATAACTACCCCCTAACACACGTTTAAGAGAGACGACAGTGGTCAGAAATGCTCACCAGGTTCACCTCCCCCCGATTGCTTATAAGGGGTGAGGGCGAGATGAGCGGACAAAGCAAGAGAAAACAAACGCACGGCCTCGGACTGTGAATCCAGAGCAAGCCCACCAATATCAAGATGAAAACCCGACAACAAAATCCATAAAGTTAAATGCCGCCAAAAACAATCTAGGAAATCGGGAGAGAAAAACAAGAGACCACAAACATACAAACTTACAGTGGAGGAAGCCGAGGCAAAAACCCGCGATGGTGCACCAGGACTCTTGCCAAACTCACGACAATTCAAGATTACAGACCAAGCATCAAGCACTGCAACACTAACAGCTGACCCTGGAGCCAACGACCGTAAATCCCCACGACGTACCATGCAACCACCGTGAGAAAACAGCACCTCATGCCTAAGCAATCACCATAACTCAACAAAGGGGGAAAAACAACACAAGGGAAACTGCCGAACGACTAACAATTAAACAAATACTTACAATGCGTCGCTACCACACTCCAACACCCACTTGCTGAACACACCATCATCAACCACATCAACTGAAGGCAAGGGCACATCACCATATAGATCCGCTGGCACAAGTCAAACCGGCCTAACAGGCTTCAATGGGGCAACACAGACCGGGGAAGAATCACGACATGGAACAACTTGCTATGAATTCGCAAATAGATTAAACAGAATTTAAAAAAAAAAAAGAAAGAATATGAATATAAATACCAACCAAAAGCACACATTTACCTCAGCAGGGGTATCAAACACATGCCCAGCACCACCCTCAACCACATTACTATGGCCCGGAGCTCCCTCATCTGAACCCTGAGCTGGAGAGGCAACTAGCACATGATCCCCACGGTCTACTACCACCGGGACATCCCCAACCGCACCCAAAGGACGAGACACCTGCACATGCTCACGAGAAACTTCCTGCACACAGTTCAAATGGCCCACAAGAGCAATGAAAACTTATTAAAAACACACACAAAGCGACCAGAGTTGTGCACACATTTGAAACAAAAAGGGCACAAACAGAAACCACCTACGGCACACAAAAAGTGAAAGACCAACAAAGAAGCAAAATACCTGCTCCGGAGGGTCAACACCCACACCAATACCACTACTTTGTTGATTAATTCCCATAGCAATATCAGCACTGGAATCCACAGCACCACCACTAAACTCTTGCGTAAGCCCAAGACTAAACGATGGCATATGATTCAATAGAAACCTCGCCATAAGGGCACGCTCAACCTCAATCAACTCACGAACATTATCAGGATTAGCCCAGAAATCATCATCAAACTGAGACAATGTGGGCTGCGAGGCGGTGCCATCGGAGTCCAAAGGTATGGAGGGCTGGGGTTTTAGAGCAGTAAGCATCTGACCAACCTCAACCAACTGGCATAAATTCGCATCAGGAGTAGAACATACGGCTGCCTCCCGTCCCAACTCTACAAGGGTAAGTATGCTCCGAGAAATCACCCCAATCTCATGAGCATAGCGCTCAACCAAAGACTACAATGAAAACAAAGAAGAAACAAAGCAACAAATAATCACAAACACTGAATCACTAAAAGTGCACACACAAAAAAGAACATGAGCATATAACACTACCCTAACACGAAAGAACAAAAATATACCTTGCGCAGGCAACCAGGAGGCATAGAAGGACCAGGCGAACCCCCTAGATTAACCGGTGCTTCCACACCCGGATCATCACGGTGTGCAGCCTGATCATGAACCACATCAGCATCCACACCCTGGACAGGTTCCAATTCACCAACCCCAAACCCCCCAGCACGAATCTCCGACAACTCCCGCTCACGCAACAACTTGGAAGTCCACCCTCGAAATGCTGGAATAGCACGAGGACCATGCTGAACCCGATCAAAGTACACCAACTAAAATGAACACAAAAACCAAAATAAAAACAAGGCAAACACATCAGCCAACAACGAGACATGGAATGAAAACTATTAAAACAAGATAGAGGGCTTAAAACTGAAACAAACTTACAATCAAGAAAAGAATGGGGCCAGTAAACTGGTGGTCGTTAGCTACACGCCATAATGCATGCGTAGAAAGAAGCTCCTCAATAACAAACCGACACCAATTCAAACTACCAATCGCAGAAACATCATCTAAGTGGTGAAATACCATCTGGTTACAATACCCATTATTCATGCAAGATATGAGGGAGCTAATGACCAACACCATAAAATGCCGCTTAAACCAGTCCCCACCGTCAAGATCGTCCCGAATCCACTGGGCTACCTCCATTGGTTAACATCATAACGATGCTTTTCAAACGTCCCATGCCAAGCAGTCAATAACTTACTCTTCGCATGCCGAGCACGGCGTGTAACCACCACTTCCCCACGTGGGAACCCCATGATAGCTGCAACATCCTCCTCCCGGACCTCTAAAAACTCACCCTCACCCAATCGAATAGACCGAGCTTGGGGGTCAAAATTTAAGAGTAACCATCGGCCCAACCGAAGAGGCATCTCCTTAATCTTGAGCTCCAGCAACGAACCAAACCCGAGATCACGAATATCTTTCTTATGTAGAGAGGTAAGATCCGCCAACGCCTCAACTAACTGGACTGAAGGGACCCTAATTTTGGCACTTGGAAATCGCAAACTCTCCCCCGGAGTACATTCAGACCGCGGAGCAACAACGACAGGCTCGTCGTCCACGGGATCCACGAGATCAGCCTCTGGGGCATCACCGACAGCCTCTGGCTACACACGATCCGCGGAATCACCCTCTG